GGCACATGCCGTCAATCATGTTATACGAACCAGAAATCTTGTCATATCAAATAGTCGAAAGTTGTCTTCAACCGCTGCTAAGGTCAGTGATTTGACTTCTGTGTTCTTTTTTACCGATATCATGATAGTTAGAATCTAAATGCAATGGCTACCTTTTTTATACGTTCTTTTGGCTCTGATATTGCTGAAATGGTTTACGTTTTGAGCCAATTCATATATTCATATTCAACCTAAACCGTTTTATTAGTGCGAATCAACTTTTAGCTGGTAAACGTTTTTCATGAACACTGCCATGCCAAACTTTTCAGGGCGAAGCTACCGAGGATCTAATAGAAGCTTCACGAGATCAGGGCTTTGTTAGGCCAACCGTGCTTATCCTCTGCCCTTTCAAAAAGGATGCGTACGATATCGTGGAGAGACTTGAGCGGTTGATTTTTGGAAAAAGTGCGAATTCTGAAATTTGGTTTGCCTCTACCTCTCCGTCTTTTTTCTCTCACTGTTTCGCTTTAGACAAAGTCTCCACATGGAGTAGAGATCGGTTCCATACTGAGTTCAAAAGTGAACCTGCTCCCACTTTCAAAACGAGGATATGTGAGGAATATAAAGTGTGTATATTAAATTGCCGATCTTTTCACGTCTGAGTAAACTCATTTTAAGGAGCTGATTACGGGTAACAACGACGACTGCTTTCGTGTTGGTATAGCAATTTCCAAAAAAGTTTTAAAACTGTTCGAGGCGTTCGATAAGGTTTGTTTTTATAGCTTATGCTCCAACACGAAGAGATTTTCTATTTTTCAGTCGGACATCATTCTTTGTTCGCCTCTTGGTTTACGCATGATTCTAGACGGTGACGCTGGTAGGGAAAGTCATCTCATTTCCAATATTCAAATAGCTGTGGTTGATAAGGTAACTTGCTGTTTATCAGTTATTTAGTCCTCCTTCCACGCTACAATATAGGAGCTACATACATCCTATTCAGATAGAATCATTTAGGCTGACATCATGTTGCAGCAAAACTGGGAGCATCTCGCTATCATTTTCTCTCACATGCATACACAACCATCCAAAATAGAAACAGATATTTCGAGAGTTCGCCAGTGCTACATAGGTATTTGCCATGTTTTCGTTAAGTTTTGTATGCCGAAACATCATTCAAAAGCTCGTCGCTATAGCAAAATGTTTTGTTTTAGAGGGTTTGTCAAAGTATTACTGCCAGCTGCTGTTGTTTTCGCGTTATGAACATGAACTATTTTCTGCTCTAGTCTTAGAACATTCGTTGAATTACAATGGGCTGATAATTCCGAATGCTTTCTTTGCGATGGTACTCTTGACAAGGTAGGTTCCCTTATTAGTGCTCTTCTTCCTTCAAGATTAACACATGTCAGCAGCGTGGCGCGGTTGCGCGTCCCGTTTTGCAGTCCATCGAACGTTGTGGCGCGATTGCGCGTCCCACCCATACATCCCTTTTCGCGATGCGCGGCTTATTCTCAAGAAGTGTTTAATATACATCATTTAACAGGTCCAGGCAGGCCGTGCGGGATTTCCAGCCCGATTCATTTCTCGTTGGTTTTATTTTCATAAATAGGCATATAGGTAACAAGCGTAGCAGTAGTTTCAGTATAAATAATGTTTTTGAAGTTATTCGGAGCATGAGCACAACCAGCTTTTAATGTTCTATACAGCGTAAGCGAGTGTTGCTTTCATTTTTTCATTTCACTTTCTTCTGATTGGATTTTTGCTTCTATACTTCCGCTTCTATACTCTAGCTTCACAGCATTGGCACTGCTGAAATGACTTCGTCTCATGCATGGGCCGTATCCTACCTCCCTAGGAGGGCGCGCCCCCGTCGCTGATCCTATTCTGTCGTGTGGGGGCATGGTTGCGTCATAGGGCCCTGCCATACTCTGCTTTTCTAGACTTCAGACAGCGCCACCTCAAGTGAAAAGAGTGTTGCAACAGGGGAGTGTAGCTACAAGATCACGCGTTCAGTGGCGAGTCCTACGACGCAACAGTGTCTCCCAAGCTTCACGATGGACGCAATCAGAAGTTATTACGGCGATCGTTGAAGGCTTAAGTGTCGCAATGGCCGATGTCAGAGTCTGCGATTGGAGCGATCGGTCAAATGCCAATCGCGCGACCATCGCGCGATTCGCGCGACGATCGCGCGATTGACATGAGTCCCATCATGACCAATCGCTCCAATCGCGCGATGGGCGCGATCACTCCCGTTGTGGCAGGGCGCGCCCACTCGATCGATGCCTCAGTCAACGTATCGATCGAGGGGGCGCGCCAGCCACAACGGGAGTGATCGCGCCCATCGCGCGATTGGAGCGATTGGTCATGATGGGACTCATGTCAATCGCGCGATCGTCGCGCGAATCGCGCGATGGTCGCGCGATTGGCATTTGACCGATCGCTCCAATCGCAGACTCTGACATCGGCCATCCGCATCCGCGATCCGTGCAGGTTTCGCTGATTTTCGCGATTTGCGCGATTTACGCGATTTTCGCGATTTGCGCGATTTGCGATTTTCGCGATTTGCGCGAAACCTGCGACGGATCGCAAAAATTGCAAGTGCCCCATTTGAACATTTGAAACACTGAATATGAAACAAGTGGAATCATGAGCAGTCGTCATTCAGCCATCACTATCAAGCAGAAGTGGCGGCAGGATTGGAGAACACCTTGCAGTATTGATCGGGCACTTGTGATTTCCGTGACCCGTCGCGTGAATCGCGCAAATCGCGCAAATCGCGAAAATCGCGCAAATCGCGAAAATCGCGTGAATCGCGCAAATCAATGAAACTGCGACGGCTCGCGGACTCTGACACCAGCCTAACAATCGCGGTCGCATAAAGGAGGCGACGGGGTCTCCCAATGCAAACCCTGATAACACACGACTGTGCGTCACGGGGCTCGAAAGACTGTTCGATTGTGGAGCAGTAGATGCGCCTCGATCGTGTGAAACATATCGACATACACATAGTCGGTGTAACGATCGTTACAATCGTTACGACCGACTATGCATGCATACGGAATCAGCAGAGGGGTCCGCGTCCTCCTGGGGGAAGGACAGGATACGGCTCCATGTTTCGCCCAGTTATCACACAAAATTCACTGATGTGAGGTGGATTGGCTGCGCCAGCAAAATGGCACATGCCTCACGCTATCAAGAGTTTCGAAACACGCGATGTTGTCAACGATGTCATTATTTTTAGTTTTTCCATGTGTACATTTCTTTCATTGAATATCGGTTTAGTTCTTCTTTGCTAAGTCGTTGCAGATTGAAATCCCCTTGTGCCAGGAGCTACGGCGTTTCAAAGTGACTGACCCATCAGAGCAAGCCCTTTCAAGGTTCAATTGCTTCAAGGAATATGTATGTGTTTCATTGAACTAATAGCAGTTCTCATGTGTACAGTTTATTTTTTCTATTGCATTATAGTGCGCTGCCAGCTTGTTACCCGGTACATGTGTAGTAATTCCGTCTTACTTTGACTTTGTTCGGGTGAGAAACCATTTCAAGCGATCCGAAGAAAGTTTTGTGGCATGTCATGAATACGCACCGAAAACTAAGGTAAATATGCATATGGTTGAAATTTACATCGTTTTTTGCCCAAAGTGAACCCATTTATACCTTGTGAGAGCTTTCGTTTCAGATTCTTAGGGCGCGAGATCTTTTCTATCATAAACACAAAAAGGTGCTTTTGGTCACTGAACGATATTATTTCTTTAACAGGAAAGCTTTGAAGGTATGTTGCGTGCACTTCCGGCTATGAATGCTTCATTTTTATTGCTATTAATATTTTTACTTGATTGTCTGTAGTCATTTGCCTTTCTTTCTGCCTAGTAGATTCTCTGGATTTGTTGAGTAACTTGGCTAATTTGGATGTTTCTGGAAGCCCACATCCTCAGCACATTTTGATATATGAAACCCCTATATATTCTGGTATGGGGCTCGCAGGTGGGCAAGAAAGGTAGCTACTTCCAGAACAGCATCATTCCTCTATCACCAAAATCAGAAAATCATCAGACAAAACAAACGGGGATAATTTAAACCTTATACATACTTTGACTTCAAGACTCAGTTCTTTACTGTCTCTGTGGTCTTTGCGAATTTTGTCACTGTCGTTGCTATATACATTATGTAAGCCAGAGGTTCGGGTACTCGGTGTTTGACTGCCTGTGTTTGATTTGTATTGACTTGTTTTTTTACCTCTTTTTTCTTCGTAATCGTTTGTTTACTATTAATCTTAGAGCAGTTGGAGGGGAGCAGATTTGGATGGTGAATGGGGCTGGCTTGTCACATAAGCTGGTTGCCAGGACTTGTGCGAGTCGAAGCGATGTCGCAAATTTGGCGGCGGTATTGGAACGGCTGAAAACTTAGGGGTTATGACCTATTGCATCATTTGGGTATATTTGTTTGATCGTAAGAAGGACCGAAAAAGATTTGCGAGTGTTTATGTTGTCGTGCATTCGTCGTTATTATAAAGTAGAGATCAGGAATGCGCCTCTTTGGCGCGTAACCAGTTCCGGTCTGAACTTGAGCCTATCGTGTGTAAAGCACCGGTGGTGACGTGCGCTCAAACCTGGAACTGGAAACCTTAGAAACAGCTGCATACGCACACCGTTGGCGGGCACCCCAAAAGAGTCCGCGAATTTCTGTTTCCATTGTCTCTGCGTTCTAGAAAGGGTAAAACTGGTTCCAAAACTTCTTTGACCGGCTGCGCATCACGAGAGGCATTCTGCGTCATCAAATACAGTCGCTACCTTCCCTTCGTGGAAGCAGATTATCTCAATAATTTCTACGTCTGGCCTTCACTGCGTGATTTTGGTATATTGGTTCGTCTTTTTGGCAATATTTCTTCTCTTCTCTTCTCTTTTGTACTGTATAAAATACTGTTCCGATACAAGGGATGTATGGTAATGACGCGATTTTTAGTTAATTCTTCTATATGAATTGGCTAGCGTAAAGTCAGTATTGGATTGGACGTTGGGAAAAAGATGTTTGCTGCTTCGATCTCTTTATGTCTGTATGTGCTCGAACAAGCACCAAAATATATGAGGAGTATTTAGAAAAGCAAGAAGAAGTTGAGAACTGGCAGGGGAGTTCAAAACTCAATAAAGGTTACATTTTGAGACTTAAAGCAGAATCAAGGTTCTGTTCAAGAAAGGGGCTGTACCTTAAAAGGTTTGCTGTTTAAGTCAGTGATGGTTCCTGATTATTCTGGGTTAACTGCATCCACCCGAATCTATATCAGAGCTATCGAAACTACAGTGTAATAGGAGACACTCGTATCAGGGGTGAAATGTGCAACAATCACAGTCAGCAAAGGGTGGTTCTCGTGCCATAGCGTGAAGTCGGGATGTTGAGTAACTTGCGGAGAAGCGAGGTCAGTGATTAAGAAATTGATGTTATAATTTAGCGGTAATTTAGGTTATGTTATTCACAGAAGGCAGGGTTGCCCATTCTGAAGCAAATGAAACGTCAGTAACTAGGGTGGTTAACTTTTTTTGAGGAGAGATTTTTTTGCTGATACGAGGCGACATTTAAGGGGAACTGAATGGTTTTTTTCTGGCGTTCGCCTCACTGGTTCAGTTTTTCTCAAAAGATTCGGCTTGCCCTGAACAATTTTCATCAGATTGTCTACTTCTCTCGCTTTCTGCTCATCTTTTTGGGAACCGTCTTAGCAGTCGGTGTGGACAATTATCGCGATCAGTACTTTAATCCTTTCTAGCGGGGGTTTGAAAGTCCTTCACATTGAAGACATCGCGAACCACAAGGGGTCGCACCTATGCTTTACATTTTTTCGCCTATTCTCCATTTTTTTCCCGAGTTTTTTTTTTTGGTAGTTTTCCAACATCAACGTAATGAACAGAGATGCTCTATTTTATCACAGAAATTTCCATTTTGATTCATTCTCTGTATCCTTTTTGTCCTTTTTATTGTCGCAGACATGTAAATAAAAATGAAAGGGATTTAAAAAAATTATACGGATTTTATGAGATGTGTTTTCTGAGACAACAAGTGCAGTGGCAAGTGCTTTCGGCGTTTTGGCGTTTACTGCAGCGAAAGCCAGTAAAATTTGCTTTTTTCTCAGTCACTACACGCCCATCTGGTCAAATCTCTACGAAGCTCATTTTCTATAACTAATATTCAGCAACGTCTTTTGTAATAGTGTTTTTAGCAAAACTTGGCTGCAGACATTTCGGCCAGTTCCTCCCGACCCTTGACCGCTATGTGTTGTGTATTCTGAAAGTGCGGCAGACGGGTGCACTGATTCCTTACCTATTCTCTTGTCTGCTTCTCGTGTATGCTGGTCAACTTTACTGTTGTTCTACAAAAGGGCATGTGCGACCTCATTTGTTTTTGGCCAAATTTCCAAAGGTTACCTGAACCGCTCTCGATTCGTGTGTATTGTCAGATTATTGAGCTACATAGGTGTGCCTTTGTTCAGCTGTTACGGTAAGTAATGCGAAAAAAACTCTTTTCTCAACATCATCTATGGCGTAGTCCAATGTATTTGGAAGAGACTGTAGGGGTTTGAAAATAATTTGAGAGCGATACTTTCATATCCCAATATCCCCAAGCTTCCGCAAATTGATAGCATGGCGCCCAGTCTTTACAGCTATTAAAGCCTTATATCGCTCCCGTTCTATAATATATTCTGTATATTCATTTTTATGTGAGAATATATTCGATTCTAGAAAAATATGCCATTCTGGTGCGAAATGATTGCATTTTAAGCATGGTATCGTTGTGTGTTTATGTTTTTATGATGCACAAGGCACGCCCTTACATCTCACATAATCGTATTGTTTCAGGGAATGGCGAAGATAGTTTTCTACCAGCTCCCTTCTCATCCAGACTTGTACAGTGAATTCATCAATATGGCCAATTGTGAGGCTGCTAACAGGTTTAGCTCTGTGTTATTTTACTGCCAATGCGATAGAATCCGGCTTCAAAATACTTTTGGAACTGAACTAGCCAAATCTATCCTATCCTCAAGTAAGACTGTGCAGGTCATTGTGTCGGAATGATCTAAGAATTTCATGGAACGTGATCTGTCTTCGAAGCTCTTTTTTATCAATTTGCTTTGCCTTGTCTTCCTTCTTTGTTGTTGCTGTCACTACGCACCCTTTCTTTTTTTTTAGTGGTGACTCGATGCCATCTCAGAAATATTCATTGAATGCGAGCGCAATGATAGCTGACCAAGTTATTGTGCAAGTACATTTCTCCAACGCGTATCTTTGAAATCATATACGGTAGACCTTGACCGCCGCGTTAGACCATATACTCAACGTGCACTGCGAAGAAACTTTTCAATTCGCGCAATTTCTGTGAAAGTGAAGTTTTGAAACACTCAGTTATTGCCCTCCTGGACGCTTATGTTTTACTTCTCGCGTATTTTCCCTTTTCCGGAGATTTTATCGTTTATAGCTGTTTTTGAGACGACTGTTCGATTTGTCAGACCAGCCAGTTAAAGAGGTTGGTTGCTGTGCAGCTATGCATGAGACATTTAATTGTCCCGAATTATTCTATGACTAGCTGATGGCAGTTTAGCCGTTGATAAATGACAGCTTTTTGGAGCGCTGCTAATTTCGCCTTTTGAAGTCGATAGCTCCCCATAATTGGCTCCAGTAATTATTCCTTTTTCCAGATTTCAGATTTCCATGCAGCAAAATCTCGGATCAAGTTTCCCGCAAGTCTCCTTCGTTAGTTTTATAGTCAATCAAAACACGGGAGCAAAATTGAGAAATCCACGTGGCAGTCATGAATCTGCACCGAACAAGCCGTTTCTTTGTACTTGCAGTTTTTCTGTATTCCTTATTACTGGAAAATATTATTCTGAAAAATGAATGGGTGTAGGCATGAACTGCGTTTGCGTGAAATATCAAGCAATGCTTGAGCGAGCTGGCCTTTGCCTAAGTCCATTGATCCTGCTCCTAGGAAACAGCTCTGCATAGCACGTTATTTGCACGCATGATGGAGCGAGCTCCATGAGACCCTGTGTATCTTAGCTGTCTTCCCAAAGCGTTTCTGCGTTCTCGCCGGTTGTTTGAGGAAGGCTCATGATTTTGCGCAGTTAACTTCTCAGCAATTATGTCTTCGGGAACTTGCGCTCGTATTCGCTGGGTATCTCATTGCATAAACTGTATAAACTTCAGTATAGGTTCCTATTGATATTTTGATGTAGATGTAATGAATTCGAGAGAGTGCTCCTCATCAGTATTGATTGTTGTTAAGGTGGGCATCTAGTTAGTCAGGCCTATATAATTCGAGAATTCCGTCTCCTTTTTTCAGTGGAACAGACCATGAGTTCCTACTGAGCACAACTATGTGGCTTTTCGAGATGTTTATGCTATAGCACTGACACCTCAATAGTCGCGATCGTTCCGTTCATCTTCAGATTTACTTTGATTGTTACACACAAATGTTGTGATTGTTATTGTTGTTGTTGTTGTTACTGCTGTTTTCTTTCATATTTCTATGCTTTCTTAATTTGTAGTTTTTTGCTCGTATTCTTCCATAAAATTATGCACCTCGCCTTTCATATTTCTGCCTGCGTACTGGGACTAATTGTAGGCTAAATTTTGTTCATAGAAAAGAACATGTGGCGAGTGACCGGGGTACTAGCGGTACTGCACTCCGTTTCTGCATACCTTGGGCCAAAAATGGGCGTACAGACAGCATGTGACGACGGAAAGGTTTGCATTCTTCAACTTATTCTTTTTTCCTAACGGATTCATTTGAACTTTGCGTAAGCGGCTAGCATTTAATGCGAACTGTGAACGCATTCGAAATTCCTTGTGTCCGTTAGTTATACATGCTATAGCTAGCCTTAATATCTCGCTCTGTTGCAGTCCAATTTACAAGTTGACTGGGATCCTACAGATTTCACCACCTTCACTTGTATGGGCAGTCCGTTTCCAGTTGAAGAGGCAAGCTCACGTTCCTGTTATTTTTTCCATATTTTTGTTAATGAGCTTCCGTTTAGGATGTTGGTTCCATGCTTGTCGACCTGAAATCGTTAGATCCATCATTCAATCCGAGGACAGACGTAGTGTATCATAAGTGCATGTCGGAAAGAATTGCTTATGATTCTGCTCCCCCTTTAAGGTTTGCGGCTCATGCATTTCTTTTCGTGCTAATATCTATTTTTCTATCACCCCGTTGATCACCCCATTGTTCTTGTTTCCGAGTGAATTGGAGTGAGTCTTGGACTTGCATTAGAAATAGACTTTCTCGTAGTTTGGCGTTGTCGTGGGGCACTCGAATTTAGACCGATCAGTTGGGAGATTCAGGAGGTGGAGGGTCTGGACGAGTCATCCGATAAAAGCGCCCTACAAGAGCGCGAGAAGGTC